ATTCCCCAACATAGGCCCAGTAGGCCCAGTATGACATTGTGGGGACCATAGCTTAGATTTCAGAAGCCTTGCATCACAAAACACAGAATGGATTTAAAAGAACATTTATCCTTAAATCTGGCAGGTAAATCATTTTTTTGAATTTTTCTGGAGCTAAATATTTATAACCGATGCGTAAATTTGCTTCACCCACCAGAAACTGTGGCTATTTACCCAAAATAAGCCGCATCAAATCAGCTTTGGCTAGTGCGTATGATGTCAATAGCAAAATTAGAGCACTGCATACAAGTGGAACCCTTTAAACAAAATGTGACATAGTATGAACGCTGCAGACTAAGCAGGCATGACTGTAATATAGCTATAAGTTAGCTTAGCTACTATTATAATTTAGACTGATAGTTCATTCTGCCTCATTGATGGCATTATTATAGATAGAGCATGTCAGAATTGAGAAACTAATGGAGTTTTCAAACCAACCCACTGAGAATGCAGAATTAACCTCATTTTGTCAACACAACTTGCAATAACTTCACTCACATTCAGCAGGAATGATAGTGCTATTAAATAAGAGATCGATTCTCCTGTTAAGTAAGTTTATTTGATAGAAGTAAAGAAGCAAAATATTTATTAAGTACTTTATGTATGTATACTACTACTATTGACAATAATAATAATTATAACTAGAAGGGAAAAGTTTGTGAATTAACCTTGATAGTCTGACACAGCCATTGCCATGGTGTCCCAGGTGGTTGCTAATATGTGTGTATATATGTGGTAGTGTGAGTGGACTAAAACTAGTTCAATTGCTTGTTAACACATGAAGTATTTTTTTTTTTTGAGAAGATCTGATGAGCCACTTTTTTACAGTGTATGATTCTACATAGAATCTTTCTGAAAATAGTTTAATATTGTACCAAAAATAGTTCTTCTACTGTTACAGTGTTAAGCTAGTAACAATAGAAGAACTCTTTTTGGTGCTATAGCCTAGAACATGGGTCATTCACCCAAATGTTAAGAAGAGCCATTTTGTCCTTTTAACAAAAATCAAACCACCTTGGGAGCCACAACAGTTTATGCTCATTTTACCATCTTGGCTGTAAATCTGTCTCAGTATGTGCTGATGTATTAGTATAGGCTAAAAATATAATATAAATGAAAACGCAAACTCTGCTTTAAGCTTTAGCTCAGCTATAGCCACTTTTCTCACATCTCTGGCAGGAAACTTTTCCTCAAAAGTGGAACAGTTTCTTGTAAATTGTATCTCAATTTTCAACTTTTTACAAGGATGAAATCAGTTGTTAAATGTAAGTTTATTTGATAGAAGTAAAGAAGAAAAATATTTATTACGTACTTTATGTATGTATACTACTGCTATTGACAATAATAATAATTATAACTAGAAGGGAAAAGTTTGTGTCCCAGGAGGTTGCTAATATGTGTGTATATATGTGGCAGTACATATGTGAGTAATATCTATAAGAGACAGTGAAGATGAGAGATGAGAGATGCTTAATTTACAACAGATAGATTTGAATTTTCTCAATGTTCCGTCATTCATTTCCGAAGGAAAAATAATGATGTGTTCATAAATGCTGTATGAAAACTGCAAGTGCACAATAATTGTATAGGCTCTATGATTTTATAAAGTTTTGTGGTTTTAGCTTGAAAACTGTGACCTTAAAAACACAGAATAATAAAACAGAGCAGTCAGCTGGCTTGACACACTTACATAAGTCAAAGGAAAACAAGCAAAACAGGAGTTTCCAAAATAAGAGTTCAGAAAATAATTAAAAGATACAGAGAAAATGGAGCTCCTAATATCTGGGCACAGCCTGGTAGAAACCAAAACTGTCCCCATCTTTCTGTCCATCCTTCCACGGTTAGAAGACAACTCAATACCTTATCAAATAAAAAAGTTTCTGGTGTTCTCAGAACAATGGAGTGACCACCCAAGAGTCCAGACCTCAACATCACTGTGTTTGGGATTGTTTGAATTGTGACAATCAGAAAAACAACCAACTTCTAAGACTGAACTTCTGAGGTGTGGAAAAATATCCCTGCAAATATTTAATGTGCTAACGTGCTAACGTGCTAACATCTAAACCCAGAAAGCTAATTTATAATGTGTAATTCAATTTAAAACATACTTATTTGTGCAAATTTGTAATTTACTTATGTTCTTTACCCTGTTTTATTCTGTATATGGGGAGTGAGGAGGGAGACAGGGTTGTGTAATTTCTGTGTGTTGCTGTAGTCCCTGTGTAGTACAGTAGCAAAGCAGAGCCAAATTTCATCACATTATATGAATATCAATCAAAAGTCATCAAGGGGGGAGAGAGGGAGCACAAAAATGCAAACAGTAAATCCAAAAATCAAAACTCAGCATCCCTTCCTCTAAATGCAGTGCTGTCATAAAAGCATTTCTATCGATGAATGGGCCAGCAGAAAGGTCAATAGTTAATTAAATAATCTATCACCTCCAGACTGGAGAGAGAGAGGGAATGGGTTGGGGTGGGGAGGGGGGGGGGTAGGTTGCCACTCGACTCAATCAATGGCAGCAGCATTAAAAGGTCAGCTGTGGCTTTATGATAAGTCACCTGCTTAATGTTTGCTTTGAAAATAAAGTGGCCGACCGCTACTGGACAACAAGCAACACTCACTTACAGTCTTTTCATCCCCTCCCTCTCTGCCGGTCTCTGGAGCTTTGATTTCAAATTGAGTAATAGTCCGACGTTACTAAGTGAGCCGGCCGCTCTGTGGCTTTGCCGTGCGCAGAAATTGAATGGCATTGTCAATGCATCATTAGACTATGTTTGCTATGCATTCATTATATCTCACCGCAGCCACTCTATCAATTATAAATGAGCTGTGTGTTCTTGTATAGACCACTTTTTTTTTCCTAATTTCTTCATTTGTGTAATCCCGGCCGGTCAGAGAGACGGGAAGGTGCGATACGTCCGCCTGGCAAACAAAGACGGGATTACAATTTCAACAGATGCTTCTAAGAAAACAATAATTATGCAAATGGGACTCGGAACAATCACTACGGTATCCATTATTTATTAGCTATGTTTCTGTTTTAAATTAGCTATGAGGTAAATAAAATTGTATTTCTTTTCTTTGTCACTAATTATGCATATAGAGCATTTACTTTTAAAATGATTGTAGTAATTTCAGAGCGATGGCGAGCCTGAATTACGGCCAGTGCTAAGAAGAAATTGGAAATTTTTTGGGAGGGATTTATATGCAAATGTTTGAAGGCTTTGCCATGTCTTTTAAATAAATACTTTTCTGCAATTAACAGAAAAAGACGTAGGTTTTTTTCAGCTCAGCAGCAAACGTTAGTTCATATGACTGATGTGAATATTTCAGCAATGACCGAAAAGTAGCACACCCAAAAAATGCCCTGGATTTAGATAGTTTACTATTGATTACAGTGTATTTTTACTTACACAGTCATATGCAAAAGTTTGTACACCCTGGTCAAATTATATGTTTTTGTTGATTTTCTAAGTAAAAGTAGGTTAACACGTCCTCTACAGGGAACAAACTTAAATGTGAAATTTTTCTGCTAACTTGAGCACAAATTTCTGTTTATTTGCTGAGTTTAAAGCATTGGACAAAATAAATGTGAAATATAAAATGCCATAGCTTTTGCCCAGGCCACATTTTATGTTTTATTTTTTTCCCAAAAAGTTAAAACTAGCAAATAAACATTAATTGTGCATTAAAATGTGCAGAAGTAGGTTCTCTGTAGACGATATCATAATTTATTTCCAAAAATCAGCAGAACATTGCATCTGGCTGAAGTACCTGACTGCAATTGAAACAAGACACTTTATTTACTTTCAATCAGGTGCTGTTTGGGAGACATTTTACTTAAATTTTCATAAATATTTCTTAGTGTATTTCTGGACTTTTACTTGGGCCTCACAGTAGGATCAAACAGACAGCTTAGCATGAGCCCAAACTTAGTCCATTTGATGGTGAAATCTAGCCCACATCATCAACATACACACATATTCCTTAAAAATAATTAGGAAACAAGACCAATGAATACACATGACTAATGCTTCATAAATATTTGGCTTTTTTTAGATTTGCGCTGAAACTTTGAATCTAACATTACTAATAAACACTAGAAGTCAATAGTCACCCAAATCATTAATACTTTGCCAAAATAACCCACTCAAACCATATCTAGATCTTCGTAAAGTTGTGCAGACTTGTCAATGTGGTATAAAGTGCTAAACTATAAAAATGAACTGCTAGCTGAAAGCTGGTAATGGTTATTTTATGCAACAGATGTGTTGAGTGGGTTGAGAGACGTTTTGGGGGAGTATATATGTAAGTTTAACTCTTTACATGGCCAAGGCCTGTTTTATTACACACTTCTTTAATCTAAGAATAGTTCAGCTAGTTTGCATTGGAGTCTCTGTAGTTACTGAATGATAAGCCTTAGTATGCAATAAGCCTGAGATTTTAGGGGTTAAGTCAGTCGGGGAGGGAGAACTATTTAATTCCCAGCTGCCTAATAAATCGGCATCTGTTTTATCTGGTGAAAGGGAATGTCCTGACGTTATAACATGATGTGCTGATGATCTGATTGACTGCTTAATGTAACTTCATAATATTGAGATGGTTGCAACTGCTATGGTTGAGTTTCAAGTGAGTTGCAGGACATTTATTATTATGCAACTGCAATGCAATTTAGTTTCATGTAGGTTTCAAGCAACACATTGGCAAAGCCAGCCCTAAACATTAAAAATTGAGGTGGGATGAATTGATTTCCTTATGTCACAGAAAATAAAGCAAACTGAGAGCACTAGCACCTAACTATGTCTGATAGGCTCATATCAAACAATAACGACCAATAGGTCCAAAACAGCTCAGCGAGGAAATTAATGCAATTCCTATGAGTGTAGGTTACCTTATAGAATACAAAGGCAAAGCTTAATTCGAATCAGATTCAGTTTTATTGGCCAAATTTGCTTGCAGGATTTCATTCATTTATTCATTCATTCATTCATTCATTTATCATCTGTAACCCCTTAATCCAGGCTAGGATCGTGGTAGAGCACAGAATCCCAGACGACTCAGTCCCCCACAACTCTCTCCAGCTCATTCTGGGGGACCCTGAGCCACTCCCAGGCCAACTTGTAGATATAATCCCTCCAGCGGGTCCTAGGACGACCCCTGGGTCTCGTCACAGTAGGCCGTGCCTGATAAACCCCCACCAGGAGGCATCCAGTGGGCATCCTGATCAGATACCTGAACCACCTTAACTGGCTCCTCTCAATGTAGGGGGTAGCGACTCTACTCTGGGCTCCTCCCAGAAGACTTAGCTCCTCACCCTGTCAAGTAGACCAAGCTCCTTTCCGCCGTTTGTATTTGCGATCTCATTCTTTCGGTCATTACCCACAGGTCATGACCATAGGTGAGGACTGGGATGTAGACCGACCAGTAAACAGAGAGCTTTGCCTTATGGCTCACAATCCCTCTTCCCATCGCTCGTGAACAAGACCCCAAGACTCCTCCACCTGGGGCAGGTCCCTTCCTCTTACCTGGAGTGGGCATGCCACCCTTTTTTGCACTGTGGACACAATGGACTGCAATATAAAATAAAACATAATAATGCAATAAGACAATAGATATGATTTGTAACTAACACATGGCTTAAATATAAATACAACAAAGGCCAAAGATATTGCACAGCTAAAGTATTGCACAGGGAGTAAATATTACATAACTATTATTGACACAGTTGTGGTGTTTGGGGTGTTCAGGCACATGACTTACTGCTTAATGGCTAACGGAAAGAAACTGTTCTTGTGCCTGGATGTTTTGGCGGCAGGTGTTCAGTAGCGCCTGCCGGATGGGAGTAGTTCAAACAGACCGTGTCCTGGGTGTGAAGGTCCTCAGTAATTTGCCATGCCCTTTTCCTGACACGCGAGAAGTACAGGTCCAGGAGGGAGGGCAGATTGTTGCCAACGACCGAAGGGGCACAATAGTCCAACTAGTCCAATTGCCTCTTTTTACTGCAATATCATGTCTGAGTATTTTTTGCCTTGCAAGGAACGTAAGTTGGAGCAGAACAAAAGTGCAAAAAGTTGCATTGAGTGTTAATATGAAAAATGTTTTCTTATGCTTTACAATTTCTTTGTTTTGATTTTTCTGATATTTGCATTGTGCTTTCTATGTGATGTTTCCTGAGAACTTCCTGTGGCACTGGGGTCAGTCTTCAGCTGGCATGCAGAAAGCCGAAGACTCTTCCAGCGTCCTCTGTGAGGCTGAGGTTACCCTTCGCCTTGTATCCATCTCTCGTACTACAGCCTGTTGCCATTGGCTTTATGGACGGAGCGGTCAGTCCTTTTAAAGCAGCAGAGTGTTAGTGTGTGGAAAGGAAGCGTCTAGCTGGGAGTGGTGCTGCTGTGCTGCTGTAGGCTCTCTCAGTGGGGAAAAGCCTGTCGGGAAACGCTTTGTCCTCCGCTTTTTCACACATATTCATTCAATAAATCTTTTGTTTTTGGTGACGTTGGGTCATTTTCTCGCTTCTAAAAGTGACACGGCTTGGAATGCCTCCCTGGAAGAAAATGGACATGAAAACAAAACAAAAGTGAGCACAGTTACAGTCCATACGCTATCAAAAGTTTGGAAACAGCATAGTAAGGCTTTTTGCTATTATTATACAATAATAGCTTACATCAAAATTACATTTAATGCACTTTTTATAAAAAAATAGACAACAAAGAGATTTTTAGATACAATAGATACAATAATTTTTCATCAAAATATCTGCCTTGTACCTTTAGCTTATTTAAAATAAAAGGTATTCTGGATATTAATTAAATTTTTATTTTATTATTGATTTTATCGCTTTTATTGATGTGATTATTATCTATTTTTTTTCTTTAGCATATTAGAATGGATCAGTATGGGGGCATTTTCATGCACTTGTAATGTCCTTATTAAGTCTTTTCATGCCAGTACTGGTAATTATCTAGCTGGTCTTAACTACTTTATTAAGGAATGACTATGTAAATTAAGCTGTTTCCAGTGCACTACTATTTGTCTATTATGCATCATAATCTTTTGCACAATATTAATAGATATGGAGTGCTTTGCTGAGACTAGTGAGACTTAATCTAGCAGGTCATACATTCTCTTATAATGGCAATGCACCAGAATGTCCTCTTAGCAAGTGTTAACTAGAAATCTAAGTGTTCACTTTAGAATAGAAGTTCAGATACTTGTCAAAAACTGTGTGACTGTGATTGACTTTTCAGATATTGATAAGGATTAAAGTAAAACAAGTGCTTTTAAGACAATCTAATTAAAATAAATGTTAGACGTGTCAACTACAAAATAAAAGTAAATAAGTAATAAAAGTAAATAAAAGTGCTAAAATAAAGTGCTTACCAGCTACTAGGTGGATAAGACTTAATAAAAGCAAAAAAAGGGCGTTATAAAATCCTTGTAATGTGCTTAATAAAGTAGTAATAAGCAGCCAGTTAATTTCTAGCTACTGGCGTGACAAGGCTTAAAAAAGCTTGAGAAGAGTGTTATAATGCACCTGTAATACACTTAATAAAGCAGTAATAAAAATGAATTCCTTGCTACTACTTTGATAAAACTTGATAAAAGTATTACATGGGTGTTACAACACCCTTGTCATATGTGTAATGAAGTAGTCGTACAGCAGTAATAAGCAGCCAGTTAATTACCAGCTATTGGCTTGATAAGGCTTAAGAAGAACATTGTACAGTGTTACCAAACAGTTGTACATGTTTACCTACGACTAAATTGATTTTATGTTAGTAAAAATATTGATTTCATACTTTTAAGGTGTAGTATATTTGATGTTATCCATGTGTGTGAATATATTCATAGCAAAAATTAGTTCTAGATAGCACCAAATAAAAGTTCTATGACTTGTAACTACAGCAGGACCATTTTAGGTGCTATACAGACCCATTTATCCAAAGGATTCTGTAAAGAACCACATATGACAAGTTTTCTATCACAAAGAATAACCATGCAAGGAATTATATAAACATTTACATGGTTATTTGAGTGTTCATGGTTGTGCATGTAACCATTTACTGCTAAAAACAGTTGTAGGAATAGGATGTAATTAACCAACACATTGCACTTGAATTTAAGTCAATTTAGCTGTATTTTTTTTAAAATATATATATTTTTAAAAGTTTGTGTTTGCAGTTTTCCTGAAAGAGTGTTTGTCCAGGCCTGGGAAAAGACTGAGGGTGGCGATCCTCCTTCTGGAGTTTGTTGTTGTTTAAACGGCCGTCCCTCTGCGTGCTCTTTAATGCCATTTCCCCATCACCCCCTCCCCGAGAGGCTGTCAAAATAAAATCTTCCGGCGGCTCTCTGCGCCTGCCAGCGGTCGCTGCCAGATCCAGACATGCAGGAAGCGCTGGCACATTCGATTGGTCATGGCGATCGGAACAATCATCAATCTAATGGGCTCGGGCCTTCTCAAGACCCTCCGCTTGACACGCTCTGTCTTAGCCGTGTAAAAATAGTCGGACTAGATAAAAGTTTGTCAGTTGAGCGTACGCGCCCTGCATGGAGACAAAGCTCGGTTTGCCACACAAGCTCATCTCCAGCGCTAGATCGTAGCTGTCAGTCTGTCACTGTAAGGGTCTGAGAAAGGCATTCCGAGTTTAGACCAGGGGGCCGCTGCTTTTCAGCACACACGGCCTAATCAGAATAACAGGATAATACCATTAACACACACGGCAGTCTCCTCATGTCTATTATTTGCTGTGCTCTTTGCTGTGGTCGGATTCTTTGCTCTGAACATAAATGACATGATTCAGAGAGCAAACATTTCTCTCCTTTTCTTTAAATCGCATTCCCAGAGGCACTGCAGAGACAGATCATAGAAAATAATGACTGGAACCAGGCAGGAAAAAGAAACTTTGTCTACATAATATACAGTATTTTACCTTTAACCCTCTACTGCATGGTGTTGCCATATGGCAACAATTACTTTATCTCAATTTTTCTAAAAAGCAGTGATATAAAAACTGTGTTTACCTATTTAATTGTGGAAAAAGGGTCTTTCACTTTGAAAGGGCAAATAGTTTATGACATCACATGACCAGGAATTCTTATTGTGATCTAGTTATTACCACACATTCCAAATACCAATTGAAATGATATTAATTTCCAATATTTGTAAATATTAGATTACATTTCATTAAGTATAAGTTGCATTTGTTTGGTCTTCTTAAAATTCTAGAGAAAAAAAATACTAGATGCTACTGGAACTTTGATGCTACTGGAGCTTTTTGGCAACACTCAAGGTAAATTTGGCATGAAAAGAAAAGCAGTTAATCATTAATAAACATCTCCACGGTTACGTGTGGTGGAGGATCTGTGATGTTGTGGAGCTGTTTTTCCATCAAAGGCCCTGGGAACCTCGTTAGGACACATGGCATCATTGACACCATGCAGTAGCAGAGATGTTAACCCTTTAATATTCCACGTTTATTTCATACAGAGGCTCGTTATTCAGAAACTACAGGGGCTTCAGTGCAAACTAATGGAGTTATTCTTTGGTTAAAGTGTACAATAAAATTTTGGGCCGGCCGGTGGGCCCATGGCTTGTTAGGGGGTTAAATCTGACTGATTCTGCCACAAAGCTGGATTGTGGTTGGATCTTCCAGCATGACAGTGATCCAAAACATACGTCTAAATCCCAAAAAAAAATAGTTCAATGACCACAGAATAAATTTTTGACATGGTCACAGACCCTTGACCTAAACCTCACTGACAACCTGAGAGCTTAACTGATGAACTGAAGAGGAGAGTCTAAAATACAGGACCTTGGATTCTGGAGGATCTGGAGAGGTTCTGTACTGAGAAGGTGTCTCAGATTCCGTAGTCCGCGTTTTCCAACCTCTTCAGGCATTGCAGGACATGACTCATTGATGATATGTTGGCAAACAGATGTTGCACTGTATTAAATGCAGCTACTGTAGGTAACAAGTAATGAATAGCAATTTCAAACTGACTTGCTTATGAGGGTGTAGACTGAGTACCTTCACAAGTACAAAATTACAGATTTAACTTGTTCAGCCTGTTGACAAACACTTAAGACCCGAGTATTAAATCAAAATTCAGCTTTTTGAACCAGGCTTCCTGAAATCCATTAAATGTCTAGCTACACGTAGGCAGTGGCATGTCGGTGGGTGCTTGGGATGGCATCGCCCCCTACAGAGATTTGATTGGCCACCACAACCCTCTTTTTTATTCCACAAAGCAGCTGTCCACAGAGTCCACAAAGTGTCCTGACCCACGTTTCTCCATAGCCTCCTGCAGCCTGAGCAACTCTGGGAGTTTCCTGCCCTGAGCGAATGACATTTGTTGTAGATTAGAGCAGCGCTGGCTTCCCACACGGCTCCGTGCACCACCGAGGGAGTAAAATAAGAAAGGAAAAGTACGCAGGCCAGCGTGACCACACCGGGTCCCTGCCCACATCACACGGGCCTCGTCCCTCCGCTCCGTCATTAAGCCAGGCCTTTCGCCTGCCAGCACTCAAACACACAACTGGATCCAATGCATAGGCTCGGCGAGGCTCCGCTCGGTTATGGGGGGGTGTGGAAAATATTCGCCGACAGCGTTCGCCCCTCTCTCTCTCTCTCTCTCTCTCTCTCTCTTTCTCTCTCTCTCTCACCCATGCTTTTTATACCGACACTGGATCTTTGTTTTTCCTTTAGCCCAAATGAGAAAAGGTCTGGACAGACAGAGTGACAGTGAAAAGGTCCACATGTGGAAGTGACATGTGAAAAGTTCATCAAAATTGGCTAAAATATTGTGCCATGTTTGGACTGTTTTCAGTTTCATGGAAACAGTTTAGTTGTAAAATGGTTTTAAATGTTTTTTTTTAATGTTGTTAGGACTTTAAAACTTCAGGTTTTAAAGAATGTATTAATAGATGTAAAAAGAATTTAGACACTTTACAAGTGGTAAAATCTTGAAGCAAATAAGTTGAAAAGAAATCACTATAAAATAGGGCTGATAGTAATTAGAGAAAGCTAAAAATTCAGTAGAACTTCAGGTCGATTTTATCAGCCAAACAATTTTACAGTAGATAATTTGTACAATAAAGTTCTTGTTGTCCACAAACTTGAAATACTGTATAAATGAACTAAAAAGACTTTCTGCTGTCTACCTCACAATAATATTACTATCCTTGCTGTGTAAAAATACAGAACTGTGTAAAAGAAAATCTTTTAATACTGTTTATGTCTGCAATAAGTGTGTTTGTACCATAAAAGATTCTATATATAATAAATTGACATATTTATAATGCAGCCTAAATTCAAGTATTAAATAAACACAAACAAACAAAAATACAGTAAAACAAAAATGTAAGTTACTAATATGCTGGTATTACATGCTTGGAAATGGATAAGCTAAACACTGGTAGATATTAATTTTCAAATGTTGGAGTTCACTTGTTCAATTAGCTTTTTTTTCATGCACAATAATAACTCATACACTGTATTACAAACTTTTTGGCAAGCATATGTTCAGTCTTAGTCAATATTTTAA